AGGGAATAATATTACTGAACATAAAACTATTGAACAAAGAATTGAAAACTTACACTTTCAATATAAGTAATGTAGCGCAACTGTTAATCTAGTTACATTATTAGTCTGGATATCATTTTACAATGTTAATTTTATCAAAAACAAATTCATTATTATAGGGTTATCTTATATGTCTTATGCTGATCAAGTAAGACTTTTCAGTAAAACATTAAATGTAGCGTTAATTATCTGCAACCGAATTGGAAAGTTGATTGAAGGGACCCAATATAACTGAATATATTACACAAATGATCGACGCACTGATACATTGAAGGACAGAAGTGGAGAGGGAAGCCCAGGACAGAGTTGGTTGGAGGAGCCTGGTGAGCGACCTATGCTCCATTGGGGGTAACAGGCGTAAGTAAGTAAGTAAGTAATGATCCTACTAAAATCGTTTTCAAAGCATAATATTACCGTGCTAAATATCCTCAATACTACTACTAGTAAAGTTCTTATTACTGTCAAGTTTTGTGGTCAGTTATTCATACAGAAAACCTATTTATCCCTAATGAATTGTTTGTGTTTGAAAATACATTTCATTTTGAGTTAGGACCAATCAATATTTTCCATACACGACTAGATATGGGGAAAGAAAGCAAAAGATTAAGCTTCTAATATACTAAAATAATTAGTTGGTATCAAAATTTTTTATTTCTAAATTTATTCAGCTTGTGGTCCTTATCACTTACGTATTGAAAAGGAAGCATTTCAGACAGTATATTCTCTACTTTTCTTTATTTGAGGAAAAGATTTGAAATTCTAAATAACAATCTACTTCCTTGAAAAAGCTTGAACTAGATTGCTGAACGAAACGTTAGATTTTAAAGTTCAATCGCTAAGACTTACAAGTATAATTTTCTTTTTTAGTGTCTACTCTAATTTAGTTATGATTTGTTTTGGGTTCAACTTCAACAACGGCTTGTAAATAGGTTTTGCGTAACATTAACCAGAGAGTCACTGCAGAAATGGACATCCAAGATTCTTAAAAGTTATACTACTGATGTAAACCCTTGAAAAATTATTCACCTTAATATTAGTTAAATGGGTCAGATAGTTAGATATAATCTGAAAGCTGAAGTAGCAAATTTTTAAAACTAACAAAGATTATCATTGTAATTACTGTTATAAACCACATTAAGGAATAATATTTTGATCAGGCAACGTAATCTAGTCATTTCAAAAGTGTGTGTCAGCTAAAACTTTCTACTATTGAAATCAGATTAAATAGCTTAGAAAATAAGCTGTTCCAGTTTAGGTGTGGGTTTATATGTTTACGATATTTATGACCACATGTCAGTTAGTCAGTCAGTCAGATGCAACGTAGAACTTCGTACTTAAGTACATAAGTTCATGTTGCCATACCACATTAGCACAGAGATATAATTGTCAATTCAAATCCAATAGTAGAAGAGGTAGTCAAGCGATTCGAAGTAATCGGAGAGATTAGGATTAGAAGATATTATTGAAGAAGTATGATTCAGTGAGATAAGTTTAGAAAGTCGAAACTAGAGGTGTTGAAGAATCCAGAAGATTAGTATTTGAGAGAACACAAAGAATAAATGCACCGGCGCCATTGCAACCGATTTTGAGCCATGTCATTCAAGGTCGATAACCATCGATTATTATCATCTCGCACACCCCAACCAGGTAGTCGACAACTACCGACATGGCTAAGTCCACTCATCAATGACTTCATGGATTTCTGTCATGTTTTGGTCTGGCCGCCCCTAACTTTTTTCGAACCTACTCCTACACTACAAAACAAAGCTCGTCGAGGCAGTCGGCGGTTAGGCATACGCAGCACATGTCCCAACCACCTCAACTGATGAAGTTTCATTACTTCATCTATTGATCTGCCATTCTTACCTACCACCCGTTTCTTAATAACAGCGTTGCTCACTCGGGTGTCCCACGATACACGAGCAATACTTCGAAGACAACTATGATCGAAAACCAATAACCGACGAATATCTTCTACTCTCACTGGCCATGTTTCACAGCCATAAAGTAAGAGGGAGCGAACTACTGTACAGTACACTCGTCCTTTAGTCAGCAAACGGACCACATGTACACATTCTGAGAGTAATTAGCTCTTTTCATTGTCTTCTTGTTTACATCTCCTGAAGTCTAGGCAAATATAACTGGTTCTGACAATTATCATGAAGTAGCTTCAATAATTTCAAATCAGTTACTATCTCAGTTCATAAACCATGAAAAAAATTTACTTGTATCATGTTATTCAAATATCCTAAATTATATCTATGAAAAAGTAATAAAGTCATTATTATCAATATTGATCAGTATTATCACTGAGCGGATAACAAAGTGAGTTTTCAATATCAAAAGCAGTTTTCATTGATAATCTTGTTCAGATCATTTTAATCATGGATGTTGGTGCGCAAACGTAAACATAGTTAATTTTTTTAACTCCTCAACTATGTAATCAAATTTATCATCTTCATCTTTAAACTATAGTTGAATCAGTAAAACATTTTGAAATTTAAGAAAATTCATTTCAAACCCATAATGATCATCATTATTAAATATAATTTTATTTTTGAAAAACATATAACACTGAAACTTACTTATTAGTAGTAATGTTAAAAATGCCACATACACTAGTAATTCTCTTAATGTAGTACTTATAAATACTCTTCGATCAGTAGCATTGATTGTATTCCGTGTTGTCCAAATGGCTGTGTCAAAAAATTGTTCAAAAACACAAACAATATGTAGAAACAAAATTAATATTAGAACAACACATATAAGCGAACAATATTATTGTTTTCGATTAGATCGTCATCAGGCTTTACTCTAATATACATGAATATTTATCATGATGAAAATGTTAAACCAATCAAGGCAATTTGAGTGATAATCACAATGAAATGAAAAAGATTACGTAACTACATCTAATAGGCAAAAGTTCAAGTGGATAATAGGAAAACAGGTGTACTGATAGTAGTAAGAAAATTTGCCTATTAGATGTAGTTACGTAATCTTTTTCATTTCATTGTGATTATCACTCAAATTGCCTTGATTGGTTTAACATTTTCATCATGATAAATATTCATGTATATTAGAGTAAAGCCTGATGACGATCGAATCGAAAACAATAATACTGTTCGCTTATATGTGTTGTTCTAATTTTCACAATGGGAATCTTTAAAATTCTTAAAATTAATATTATTAAATTAACATAATCGGGAAAAACACTAATTTTAATCGATGTACGCTAAAGTTATTGTTTTATCAAGAGCGAGAGAGAGTGTGTTGGGGACTTTAGATCCCCGGAATTCGCTTGATAAATGCGTTAATTTTGGATTTGATGGGCTGATCAGTAGACCTGCAGATTTCCTTTCACACCAAGAAAATCCATGGCTGTGATTGGCTGCTGTATATATATGGAGAAATTGAAATACTTCTTTTTTATCTAAGCTGATGATGGTGTTCAAAAGACGAACAAGGATGAAAGCTCCGTAACCAAAACATTCAGCTTAGAGAACGAAACTTCGCCACCATTAGTTTTTCATGCTTTTACTCTACTCTCTCTCTCTCTGTTAGGTTTGTCACTCGGTACGCTTGAAGCTATTACGAGTTCACTTTAGTTGATAAACGCGAACGAGACAATGAACCACCGGCCAGGTAGGCTACCTTGATCCGAAAACGACAAAACAGAAGTCTTGATAAGCATAGAAAGTATATTCTACAAACACCCAGCAAGCACAATACAATCAAGCACACAAATCTCGTTTATTTATACATCATAGAAACGTCATTGGGACAGTTAAGAAAATAGCACACTAAAATACTCAGCAGCCAATCACAACCATGGATTTTCCTGGTGTGAAATGAAATCTCAATGTCAATTGATCAGCCCATGCTCGGAAACGTGAAATCCAAAATAAGGCATTTATCAAGCGAATTTCGGGGATCTAACATCCCCAATACTTGAATACTTCGAAAAAAATACATGATGATGGCATAGACCTATTTAATGATTGTCAGATTGTATTGTTTCAGATGTGTGTTACAAGCTACTTCTATTGTGAATGATATTCCATGAAAGATGAGATTGTTATCAATAAAAATTTCTATTTACTTTCTATTAAGAAAGCAATTTCTTGTACATCAGGTATCAAAGTTTTTAAAATTTGGAAGCCTTTTGTAGACTTTTACGACTAAGTTGATTATATAATAAGCATTGAAACTAGAATGCAAATGCACGAAGACAAGGAGTCTGGAATGCAATGAGGCGAATACCATGAATCTCATTCTCGTAGCTATTTTCATTATGTTAAACCTACTAATATATTGGAGTATCCATTTAAAAAGCACTTACACTAACAATAACTAGTGATATATGACTGTAGTGAACGAGAACACAGGTGGGGCAACCGAATGGTATCTAGTGAAAATACAGAGTTACTCAGTAAAATTGGAAAACCATATCGTAAATCGTTAATTTCCAAAATATCAGTTCATCGTATCGAACTGGACTGTTCCTGTGGCAATACATCAATCCATTGTCACTATTCATGCGTTTCATACAAATTCCATTGTTTTCTAACTCTTTCTTTCTTGATCTTTCCCCATCTCCCGCTGCCAGACATTACGTTGACGCTCACGTCATATACTACTTATAAGTAGCTCACACCACAGATCAACGACACAAATATTGATTTTGACCTTGATATTCTCTTATAACAGTACTTTGAATTCATGTTGACTATGAGTTAGAGAAGTTTAGGGTACTAAGAAAAACTATAATCGATACTTATCAATCACAAATTAACATGAAACTGTAGAATGAAAGATTATCACTGGAAATCAAAAAAGAAAAACTACTCGACAAAGATCTTTGTTTTAAAAGTTAAAATTTTCTAGACTGTTAAAATCGATGTATATTTTTTTTCGAAAGACTTTATTTGTCAATGTATTTATTGTTCCTGAACACTTACTGCGAAAAAATCGATTACGTAAAATTTGTACTGATGATTTTCTTGGCTTTTCATTTGTGATAGCATTTGGATTGATTGGATTTCTAGGATTTGTTTTTGATTGATTTGGATCTTCAAAGTGAACTGTGTTAGGCTTTGTTAATTGAGGTTGACGCTTCTTTACAGAGTAATCGACATCTCCCATTTTTCACGTTATCTTTCAAAATTAATAACAGAACAGAAGTAGCTTTACATTAGTCATTAGAGATAGCCTGCATGCGGTAGTTTTCCACACTTACTACAAAAAATTGTTTTATTGGCTAAGGGACACCATTAGTAAACCTCATCACAATATTCTGAGTGACCATTTTTCGAATATATACGGCCCAATTATAGTCTTTTAAACAATTTCATTTACAGATCTTACAAAATTCCCGTAATTAGTACAAATCTGAAAGCTTGATATTCAAATTTTATTCAATTAAAACCTAACATGCTTTGATATTATGGTTAAAACATGATCATAAAAAGTTCAGAAGGATACTGAAGGATGTGAGAACCAAGAGAGGAGCTGATATTGCCTCAGATCACCATTTGCTGGTCGCCAAAATGAAAATGAAGGTCAAGAAACGCTAGACAACGGGGCGGAATACATCACAACCATTTAATACGGCCTTTCCTCGGGATACCGTAATACTCAACGAATTCAAGATAGCCCTCAACCTTGGGCCACAAGGAATGGATCTCTGTAGGTAGTCTCGAAGAAATCGAAGAAAGGAGGAATAAGAAGGCAGCAATCAACATCAGCCGAACAAGAGCGGAGAAAGTTTTGGCATGAGCTGAATACACAGAAGCAAATAAGCAAGTGAAGAGGAGCATCAGAGCCGACAAATGGAAATATGTGGAAGATCTAGCAATGACAGTGGAAAAGGCTGAAAGAGGAGGAAACTTGAGACAATTGCATGAAACAACAAAGAAGCTCGCCGGAAACTATCGTAAACCAGAACGACCACTGAAAATCAAAGAAGGCAAAGTAATCAGAAACATTGAAGTACACGAGCACTTTAAGGAACTCTTGCATCTATCAGCTCCACTGAACTCAACTGACATCAAACCAGCATCCAATGGCCTCCCAATAAATATTGATTCACCAACAATTGAGAAAATCAGCAACATTCCATCAGAGGCAATGAAAGCAGACGTGGCAGCAACTGCAAAATATTCCACATTCAGTTCAACAAGATTTGAGATGAAAAACAAGTACTTACAGACTTGAAAGAAGGATACCTCATCAAAATACCAAAGAAAGACGATCTCAGCAAGTGTGAGAACTACTGAGGCATCACTCTTCTCTCAATACGAGGAAAAGTATTCAACAGAGTATCTTTAAACAGTATGAAAGACTCCATAGGCCCCGAACTTCGATTTCGTTAGGATCGATAGTGTACCGACCAAATTGCAACATTACAGATCATTGTGGAACAATCAATTCGAGGGAACTCACCACTCTACATCAACTTCATCGACTACGAGAAAGCATTCGATAGTATGGACAGGACAACCCTATGGAGGTTTCTTCGACACTATGGCATACCTGACAAGTTAGTCAACATAATCCAGAATTCTTATGATCGTGCATGGAGGAACAATAAAAACTGACAATAGCAAACTGGCAAAAAAAAAATACCGTAAACTGATTACGTCAAAACATCAATCCTCAACAGACAATCAAATACTTGAAAATATGAATCAATCATAAGATAAATGCTGATAGGAAAAAAAAGAGACTAACACATATGATAAGAAGAACTTACGCTTAGAATTTCGTTAGAAATAAATCATTCACTAAGTTATTACATTTAAAAATAAAGTGTATTTATATATAAATTATCTTCTGATCAATATCAATTGTATTCTTTGCACCAATTAAAAATGGAAGAAATTTCTCTTTTTTTGTCAACTAACAAGCAATAATGATCAACAATAATAGGTTTACATGGTATTGTTTTCCAATAGGTTTGTTTACATGTAACATACATTTAGATGCTTCTATATACATATTTTAACACAAAAAATAAAATAAAAAGGGTTTTTATAAACAATTTCATTATTTTAATGGTGAACAATAGAAATGGATGGAATTTAAAAACAAAAAGAGCTGAATATCTTTCATTGTTTGCCTAGTTTATATAATATGATGATCTGATCACTTTGGTAACTAGAGAAAATAATCAAATAAGAAGAGGAGGTTATTTTAATAGGAAAACGTTTATTATTATTATTATTAGAGGAGTCCCATACCAGGACGAAACGGCCGTCTTTCAGTGCTTACAGGTTTCTTTCTAATGGTGGCCTAACATTGATCGTCGATTCATGGTTTCGAAAATGTGTAACGTAACAATCTTCACAACAACCCCGTATTGCAAATTACTTGTGCTCACTAGTGACTAGCTTCGTGAGGAGAATCTTCTCCGAGTTCTAGTGGGAAGACGTGACTAGCGAAGTTCAACCTGTTCGAGTGTAGACAGTAACTACCGAAGACTGTGTATGAGGTAGCGCAACTCCGTGAATTGATCAAGTTAGACATTAACATCGTTAGATACCGGCTCAGTGGTCTAACGGTTAGGGCGTTAGCGCACGATACCGAAGGTCCTGGCTTCGAATCTTGCGGGGTGCAGGAGTCGTGGATGCGCACTGCTGAGGAGTCCCATACCAGGACAAAACGGCCGTCTTTCAGTGCTTCCAGGTTCCTAATGGTGGTCTAACATTGATCGATTCATGGTTTCCAAAATGTGTAACTTAACAATCTTCACAACCCCGTGATGCAAATTGTGATCCAGTAAGCACATGATATCGTTATATTTAAACAATTAGACATTAATTCATAGCCGACATTTTGAAAACTGTCAATCATTGTGACTCAAAATAGAGTGAGTGAATGAAGTTAGATGACTAGTAATTGTATCTTGAACAGCAAGCACTACTGCACAAACCAACAGTAAGTCGTTTTAGAGATTTAAGCTTATGAAATGAAATATCTGAAAACT